CTCTGTCAAATAAATAAATAAAATCTTTAAAAAAAAAAAAAAGAAAGAAAAGACGCTTAGACCACTGGGGTGAGTCACCAGTCAGGGCATGCTGATGATATTAAGGAATTAGGTTAAACTTTCCCAGTGTCATCCTAGGATAATTATGATTTTACTAGGAGACCTTTTCTCTAGAGAGACGTACTAAACTATTTACAAAGAGATAACATGACATGATGTCTGGGGTTCACGGGCACAAAGGGCTGGAGAAGAAATGAGACTGGTCTCGAGGAGGTGACTGTTGGGGCTGGGGGATGGGCACACGGGTGTTCACTCCCTGCTTTTCACCCTATCTTTTCACATTTTTGAGTTCTGTCCACAATGAAATCTTAAGGAAAAGAGGGACATTATCAGTGAGGTCTCTACACCACTCCTACAGTAATCTGCACCCTGTGGGTAAGACCTTGGGTTCCCAGATGGTCTCTTCTTTGCCCACAAATCCAAATATCCTTATGGCCCCTCACCCAGCCCATCTCGCCACCCCTCCTGGGATGCCGAGTGGGTCTTCCACAGCCAGGCAACCTCTTCCAGAAGAGGAAGCCACTGAGGTGACCCAGAGAGGGGACACAACTCGCCCATAGCCAGTTGGGGCAGAGTGGGGACCACAGCCGGGAGGCCTGCCTCCTAGCCGGTACCGCTAACTCCCCGCACTGGGACTGGGGCATTCCTGTGCAGAAATAGGGAAACGGACCCCGGGGCCTCAGGAGACACGGGCTGGAGGGCTTACATGTCTGGGAAGCAGACTGCCCAAAGAACACACAGACCTTGAGGCTGATCTCTCGCCCAGCACTCCCCGCCCTGGGACAGGTAGGCGGCTCACCGACATTGGCGACGTAGAGCTTGTTGTTGAGCAGGACCGCCACGACAGCCATGGCTCCTCCCGAAATCTCCCTCTCCAGTACCTTGAGTCTTTCGAGAATCTTCTGATACTGAGGAGGCAGCTGGTGCTGAGGGACACCCTACAGGCCATCATCAGGGGGTCAGAGCAGGCTGGGTCCTCGGAGACCATCTCACCAGCTGTCCCTCCCTTAAAAGGCAAGGATCCGAGGGCCTGGCCAGGATGAAGCCGCACTGCAGCTCAAGGGCAGGCTTCTCGCAGGAAGGCCAGACATGACCTTACTCGTCCTGTTGGTTCTGGAAGTGCCGGTGGCTGATGTGGGCGGGTGGGTGATGAGGGCTATGGACAGGTTCAGGTTGAGGACTGAGCTGGAAGGGCCTTTTCTCACATCCTTCACTGCCCACCCCCATGCCGAGCCCGAGTGAAGCTGCCCACAGTGGGCCAGGGAGGCCCCTCGGCGGGGGGGTGGGGGGCTCTGCAAACGCACTGTTGCCCAGTCCCTCAGTCAGGAACTGTCCCCCTAATTCCTGCCTCTCTGGCCCAGTCACGTCAATGGCTGGAGAGTGACATGGCAGGTAAGTCCCTGCTCCTCGCAAAGCTGGGCCCTGGGGTGCTTCCCTGCGGGAGCAGGCTAGGGAGATTACCTCTGGCAGCTGGGACTGGAGGCTCGCCTTCTCAGCCAACGCGTCGTCGATGGACTCCAGGAAGCTCCTTTCCACCACATCGAAGGCCTGGAGGCACAGAGGACAGGGAGGGGTGTCAGGGAAAAGGCCAGTTCAAAATACCATTGTCACCAGATACTGAAATGTCTATTAATAGTGACAAATTCTGGGGGTGCCTGGGTGGCTCAGGTGGTTGAGCATCTGCCTTTGGCTCAGGTCATGATTCCAGGGTCCCAGGATCGAGCCCCACATCTCCCTGCTCAGCGGGGAGCCTGCTTCTCTCTCTGCCCCTCCCTCCTACTCTGCTCTCTCTTGCTATCTCTCTCTCTCTCTCTCTCAAATAAATAAAATCTTAAAAAAAATAGTGACAAATTCTGTACGAACTGCAGGTCATCACGTGGTAGGGGCTTCACACGTGGTACTGCAAGGCCTGTGGTTCCCACAGAGCCGTGCTGGACAGAGACGTCAGCCCCATGGGGCTGGAGCCTTCTAGGTAGCACTGCAGAGACCAGAGAGGCAGGAGCCTGCGGAGAGGTTCCGAGCAAAGCTTGGAATCAGGCCACCTGGGGTGAATCCCAGCTCTGCCACTTGTCTGCCGGGCAGTCTCCATCTCATCCACGAAGGAGACCAGCGCTGCTCTGGGGGGAGACAGATAATCCACCCTGCGCACCCAGCACCTGGTTCAGCGGGAGCCAAGGGCAATGACACCTCGTATCATCACTACATCCTGCCGGTCAATTGCCTGTCAGCCGGTCACACTGCTGCCTTTCAGGGGGTAGAGGGGTGGGGGAACCAGCCGAGAATCACTGGCGCGGGGCCCGGAGGCCATGAAGGCCCTCTGGCCCAGGTGCTGAGGCTGGAAAACGGCCGGGAACACTGTTTTCGAGGAATAGGAGTCCATCCTTCTCAATGAAAACTAAGTGCCTCTGGACGTGCTTCCAAAAAGAGATACCAGGAGGAAAACCTCCAGAACATCAGCAAGCAGAAAGCAGAACTGGCCAGTGAGTCCCAGCAAACCCGAAGTGAGGAGGCAAGGCCCAGGGCTGCTTGCAGCCCCAAGAGGCTGAGAACCTAAGCTTCACCTGGATGAAAGGGATCATCCTAAATTACCGTTCCTACCAGAGCTCAGCCCTCTCCCACCACACCCCTTCGTCCAAGGTACATCCCTGACGCCCCTCTCCCCAGGAGGATCCCTCCAGAGCCCACCCTGCCACTCATGGGGAAGGACTGCAGCTGGCTGCCTGGTCCTGGACTCTGGGGATGTGGAGAGCCCCTGTGTGACGGGAACAACTTTTGAGAAAAACAACTTTGCCTTTGAGTGGCTGCCTACATGTCTGACAGGGTGACAACCCTGCTCCTAACCAGAGTCTGGACACTTAGATAATGGCCTGAGCTCAGGAGTCCCACCAAAAATTCCTGCTTCGCAGTTCCTGGGGCACCTTTTAAAATAACCATGTAGAGTTAAGGCTATGAAAAGTAGTGACCTCCACCCCAACCACCTTGTTAGTAACAGGTGCTTGCCACCCTGCTCTTTATCTCGTGCTGGCTCCTGACCTGGGAGGGAGGACTGTCCACCCACCCACCCCCGCTCAATGGCGCCCTCTTGCTTCTGGGATCTGTAAGTAAGAATAAATCTGTGGCATGTGGGATTGCACCTTCGGTCAGAACAGTCCTGTGGGTCTCCCGTCCCCAGAGGGGGTGCCTGGAGGCTGAGGGAGCCACCTGCCAACCTCATGACATCATCTTTATACAATATACCTGCTCTGGCTTCCCAGCACAACCGGTGACAAGGATGGGATTGGGGGTGGGGGCAGTCTGTCCTACACGATGCCTGGGAGCTGTGAATGGCTTGCTAACTTCCTCCCCCAGACTGATCCGGTTCTCCGGGAAGGGACCACTGCTTGCTGGCCGTCCGCGGTGTCGCCTGGCACTACGCCGAGTGCTGCTACAAATGCCCACCCTAAACTGTTCGTGCTGTGAAAGGTCAGGCTCCCCTGCAGAGACCGGCCAGCAAGCCCCGATCTGAGGCGGATGTTTCCCATTCGTCTCTGAATGAGACCCCACTGGGTGTCTGGTCTGGAGGTGACTGGTTATAATCGCAGGTGAAAGTCGAGCCCCAGTGAGCTAACTAGGACAGTAGGGTTCTGCCTCTTTCCCCGCAGGGGCGCAGGCTACATGGCCCCCGGGAGCCAAGGAGAGTTCCCCTCGATTAGTGCCGGAAAAGGAGGCTGGCTGCGCTGGGGCCGCTGTGTCGGTGGTCGGGGCCGGCCGCTGAGCTTGGGCGGCCAGCCCTAACTGGTGGCACAGACAACTCCACCAGGGGCATCAGGCACCCCGGGTCAGCGCCTTCTCTGTTGCTGTGTTCCCTGCTGTCACAAATCATTCCCCGACCCCAGGGGATGCTGGGAGTCCTACCCCGGCGTGCTACAGCAGAACGAACCCTCACTAAAAGCAGGGCCCCTGAGCACATGCTACCAGCTCCTCCCCAGTCCCCAGACGCTGCAAAACTACTAGGCTCTTGGAAAGCCCTGCTGAAACGGCCCGGGCCTTCCTGAGCGCCGTGGTGTAACAGGCTCAGCTGTTGCTGCTACGTTCCCGGGGCCGGAGGGCCTTCCCGGACACACTGGTGAGCGCTGCACCAGAGGAGCCGCCTCCCCGGACGTATACCGGGCCACCCCAGAGCCGGAGGCGGCGGCACGAGTCGGGAAGGAGACAACCTCCATCCCAGGTGTTCCTGGCTACCTTCCATCGCACCACAACGTCCAATGATGACCAGCGTGGCCCGGAAATGGAGACCGGTAACTATACCAGGCTGGCAATGCAAGATCTTCTAGAAACATTTGTTCAAAGTGGGGAGAAGGGTGCTGACTGACTCTTACGGGACTTTGAACTGGCTCCGAGCTGCTCTTTGCAGCGGCTGAGATGGGTCAGTTTGGGTTAGCCTGGCCAACAACTCTAAAATTCATAAATGGTTAAAAAAGCAAAACAAACCACCCAAGGTACTAAGGACCCATTTTATTAGAGACACCCTAGAGGACCCCCGGACTTGGCGCCACAGGGCCTCCAAAGGTGTCAGGCCACAAAGGCAGGAGACAGACAAAATCAAAAAGGCGGTGGGCTCTGAGGAAGAGATCCCCTAAGCCTCGGGAGCCCTCGGAGTTAAGGAGGAAGATGCTCCGCCTCTCCTGACTCAGATTTAAGCCCAAATCTTGTTTGCCCCTAGAGCCAGGAACCCAGTGGAGGGGCCCTAGGGGATACGGAGGCTTCTGTGCCCCTTCTGGGTACCCACGGAGGGGTGGCCTGCAACCCTCCTGAGATGACCCATAGGCCTCTCTGGGTAGCTCCGGAGATCAAGGACCCTTCATGACTTGCTCTCAAGACGGCCAGGACCCAAGTTAGAGGTCTTTGCTTAGGTGCTGTGGATGCTGTCACCTCCTGGCATGCCCCAGCCCCAACAGCAGGACCTGGATCCCGGGCCCTGACCTGAGAGGGGCAGCTGCCCAAGCCCCTGCCCCAGGGACCCAGCCGTCCCCTAGGGCCTGTCCCTCCTCCAGGAGACAACCATCCGTATACTTCTCTAATTACCCACTGGGACACATAAAGACATAAAGACATTTTACTGCTCTTGTGGACGCTTCCTGGGAACCCTTCCCCACATCAGTGAGGGGCACCCTTTAAATGATAAGGCGTAACAGGCAAGATATAGAAGGCGTTCAGCCTCCATGGGATGGGATCCACCTGCAACACAGAGGTGGGGCTATTGCCCCACATAAAATTCAAGGGCCTTAATTGGTCCTGTAAAGGCTGGGAAATTCTAGTCGAGGTTAAACACCAACTGTGAACTATTCAGCCTCCCACCACACTAGGGCAAGCCCGCCACGCCCTGTGTCTCCTCACACTTCGGAGGCAACACACACCACACTCTCCTCCATTCTTGATCCAGGCACCAGCAAAGCAGGGAGAAGCTCCACAGCGAGCTCGAGCTTGAAAGCCTGCTGGCTCGGGGCACCCGGGTGGCTCAGTCAGTTCAACGTCTGCCTTCGGCTCAGGTCATGATCCCGGGGTCCTGGGATCGAGCCCCACGTCGGGCTCCCTGCTCAGCAGGAGCCTGCTTCCCCCTCTCCCTCTGCCGCTCCCCCTGCTTGTGCTCGCTCGCTCTCTGTCTCTCGCTCTCTTGGTCAAATAAAGAAATAAAATCGTAAAAAAAAAAAAAAGAAAGCAAGCCCGCTGGCTCAAAGGTCAACTCATCAAGCCCGCTCCCTTGTTCCCTCGGCTCCTTCTTCCAGGTGGCCTGGGCGTCCTGGGGACGACGGACTAACCACGGCCCCTCCCGGCTGCCTGTGCGCTTCCGGCCCAGACGGCTGCACGCCCTCAGAACCTCGGATTCTGGCTCCTTCATGGGCTGTTAGCAACGGAGGCCCTCACGGACTGGGGCTGCCCTACTCACTTTCCTCATGATATCAGAGATCAGGGACGGCTCCCGGCAGTGGCTCGACACCGCTACGGAGGGCAATTTGCCACAGCGGAAAGGGTCCCTTGGGGAACGGGCTAAACTCAGCAGGGCAGGTCTTTCCCAACTGCAGGAGGATGCGGCTTCCGCGCTCCTCAGCCACCTGCCCACGGACCTTGGGGAAGCGGTGACAGAGCCACCACTGCCTGAGGCCCCAGCGAGCTGGGACACGAAGGGGGTCCGTGCGCCTCATGGATGGCAGCACCCCCACCGACTGTGGCAAGGCGGGGTCGGCTCGTCCTGCTCAGGACAAATGGCTGCACCATGCACGGCTGCCCACGACAAGCCTCTCGTCCATATTTTTACCGACTCACAGGCAGCTGCTCACAGGCTGGCGGTTTGGTCAGGCCAATGGCAGTGGGGTGACTTTCACAGGCAAGGCCGACCCATCGGGGCTGTTCCAGTTTGGAGGGCACCAGGGTGGCGAAGGTCACCCGCACTCGAGCACACGCAAACACTAGCACACCAGGGGCTGTCTCTAACCTCCAGGTGGATTCCCTTGCCTGAATCCCAGTCACCACCCATTTGGGGCTCTCAAGCACAACCCTCCACTCCGAGGACAACTCCACCAGCTCTCCGACCCTCCGCTCCACTGTTCCATACTCCTTCTTCCCTGGCCTAATGGGCCCCTCTGGTCTACTATCCCTTCCAGTCTTGGGGGAGCTGTGACCACAAGGGCCTGAGCTCCAGAAGGGGCACTGTGCCCCTGCAGTGCTTGCAAAATGCACTGTTTTGAATTGCAAATTATGCTCCCAAACCAAAGGCCAGAAACTGCCATTCTTTGGGCCTGTGAGGGGACAAACCTCTTAGCTGCTGGCCAGCTGAATTCACTGGGCCACTTCCTCCATCGGTGGACACGACTCACTGCACTGTTACAAGTGTGGTACTGTACTGACTTATGGCCCGTACACCCACCTGGAACACCTCTGTGGGGCAGCAGTCTTTCTAAGTGCAACCTACCGCCAGCAAGGCCTCCTGACGCCATGACTCAGATCCTCAGATCCAGGATCTCCTGTTACTGTCCACATAACATAGCACTGGGCTCTCCAACAGGACCTCCATGAACTTTCACCTCGATCACAGGCCTCTGGCATTGCTGAATGCCACCGTGGGCTTTTGAAATCTTTGCTCCTTAGGACGTCACCTGGCTCAGTCAGAAGAGCATGTGACTCTTGATCATGGGGTTGTAAGTTCGAGCCTCACGCCCCACGTTGGGTGTAGAGGTTACTTTAAAAAAAAATAAAATCGGGGCGCCTGGGTGGCTCAGTCGTTGGGCGTCTGCCTTCAGCTCGGG